GTTGTAATAACCGTCGATGGTTAAGTAGTTAGATTATATACGCTGGAAGAGGAGATCGGATCGGAGGTCCGGGTAGCGTAACTGGCAACGCATCTGCACGGTAAGCAGGAGTTGTGGGTTCGAGTCCCGCTCCGGGCCGATTTTTTCTCCCAGCGGTTCCAAATTATTTAAATTAATTAAAATTATTTATAATTATTAATATTAATAAGAGATGGCGCCTAACGCTTACCTCTAGTACCAAATTGATTACGTAATTTATCTAATAAGTAGCATAAAACTAGCCCGATAGATTTTCGGCAGTCTGTTGGTTGTAGCTATAATTATATATCGGGTTGGAGATGTTTGTATATATATTACGCCTTGCCGGGGCTTGCGATGGCCGGTTGAGAGCCGTATGGGAAGTAGGACGTGGGCACTGAATGTGTCCCCAGCCGGCGTTGTAATAACCGTCGATGGTTAAGTAGTTAGATTATATACGCTGGAAGAGGAGATCGGATCGGAGGTCCGGGTAGCGTAACTGGCAACGCATCTGCACGGTAAGCAGGAGTTGTGGGTTCGAGTCCCGCTCCGGGCCGATTTTTTCTCCCAGCGGTTCCAAATTATTTAAATTAATTAAAATTATTTATAATTATTAATATTAATAAGAGATGGCGCCTAACGCTTACCTCTAGTACCAAATTGATTACGTAATTTATCTAATAAGTAGCATAAAACTAGCCCGATAGATTTTCGGCAGTCTGTTGGTTGTAGCTATAATTATATACCAGAAGATGGCTATTTTTATCACACCAACTTTGGATAAAAGGTAAGAAATTATACCTCTCCTTGCATATTCCAGCAGTCAGGAAACTAAATAGACAGCTCTGGTGGTCATGGAGAGCAAATGCCAGATCTATAGAATTTTTATGGCCAACTCTTCACTAAAATTTTCTTTCTGGTTGACACGGGCAGATGTGTTGGTCATACCAAAAAGAGTCATTGCACCCTCTACTCCTCCAGGAAAACTTATCCTCTATGCAGCAAACAGTATGGAAATTCCAACATATAGTACCTGGCTGTTTATAGTAAACTTTCAACTAGCAATAATTGCACTTCGGTCAGAACCTCATTAGTAACGATATCACCTCTGCGCAAAGCTTTTTATAGTAAACTTAAATCTCCATTGAAGTTTTTCCTGGCCCTTTATCATAGCTGATGTTGTCCAATCAATTCTGGGTGTCGATTTCTTGATGCACTTTTAACCTACTCATCAACATAAATCATAACTGCTTGATTGATGGCACAACCAAAGTTAGATCAAAAGGATGGATGACAAAAAGCGGCCAGATCTTACTAATATCACAGTTCTATCGGGTAATTCATCTTACCATATTATAATTTGCTGTCACAATTCCCAAGCACACTAACCCAGACTAGACAAATCAAAACAGGCAATCCAGGTTTTCCACCACATAGGAACACATGGTCTGTCTTAGTTGGATCTGTGCATCTGCAAATGAAGATGAACACATGCAACACCTTCATCAGACTCCCACATGACTCCAAGAAGATGAATTCACTCACTCTAAACCTATCAAAATGTGCCCTTGGTCAGACTTCAGTCCCCTTTCTTGGATGACTAATTACTCCTTCCAATATTCAACCCTTACCCGAGAAAGTGCAGAGCATTCAGAATTTCATACAGCCACAAACAATTGCTGAACTATGTTTTATGGCAATGTTAAACTTTTACTGTCATTTCCTTCCAAATGCTGCAGCCATTCAAGCACATCTACATGATCTTTTCAAAGGTATCATAAAGAACAATAAGTACAATATTCCTATAGAAGCAATAGCTACTTACAACCAATGCAAATCTGACTTAGAAAAGGCTGCCACACTTCTTTTCCAGCCTAGTAACAGCAAGCTCTCCTTAATGTTCGATGCTTCAGATCTTGCCATAGGACCTGTTCTCCTATGTCATACCAACCAAGGTCCAAGTCCTCTTGCCTTTTCTCCCGTAAATTTTGACAGACACAGAACAGAAGTACAGCATCTACAACAGAGAACTTCTTAGCATATATGCATCAATCAAACATTTTCAACACCAACTGGAAGAAAGACACTTCTTCATCTTTACCAACCATCAACCACTGACTTTTACCTTCAACGAAAAGTATACTTCCAGTTCTCCCCAACAACTCCATCAACCCAACTTTATTGTTCAGTTCAGCACAGATATCAGACACTTACATGGATCTGAGAACACTGTAGCTGACACACTCTCTTGAACAACATCCACCCAGCAATCTTCCCTATAGCTGCAACCTCTTACACTCAGCTCTAAGTTGTAGATCATCTGTGATACTTCAAGTAATAAAATCTGACCTTACATCCCAGTCAACTTTTTCCAGAAAGTTTTTCATGCTGTACACAATCTTCACATCCAGCACTCAATCAACTCACATGTTAATGCAGGAATGTTTTGTAAGGCCATCCATGCACACAGACGTCAATCAGTGGTGTCGAGCTTGTGTCATCTGTCAATGTAGTAAAATCATCTACCATACATGAAGCCCTTTACAACACTTTGACTTACCAAAATTCAATCATGTGCACATAGGCATCATGGGATCACTTCCCCCTGCTGAAGGATTCTCATACCTCCTTATGTGTGTTGATCAATTCACTTATTGGCATGAGGTTACACCTATTTCAGTCATAATGGCTGAAACAATAACAAGGGCATTCATTTCAACATAGCTTGATTTAGATCCTATCCTCCATAATAACCAATCTAGGTCAGCAATTTGAATCTCAACTCTTACATAACATACTTTCTCTCCTTGGAATCAAGTGAATTCATACAACTCCCTATCATTCATCATCTAATGGACTAATGGAGTGATTCCATCTATTCCATTGACAGTAAGCTAGATTTTTATAAACTCTTCCCACCTTACGGACACTAAGATATCCTATTTTTAGCAACCCCATTTTGTAAAGAGACCAGGTTTCTGGAATGCAAAAGCAGGATGTCAGATTAATACAGTACACTGTACAATAACTCTTTGTTGGTTACAAATAGTTATTTGAAATAAGTAGCATATGGACTTAATATGACCCATAGATTTATTTATTGACCATATTTTTATACTAAGGAATAAATCACCTTATGACATGACCAGTAAGCTAACTTTTTCATTTGACCTTGTCTTGCCTGCAATTTAGTCCATTCTGAGCAAACAATTTCAGGAAATGTTGAACTAAAGGATAAAAAAAATACAGCATCTGAACAGCTGTTGACAAAGAAAAGTTGCAGGAATAAATTGTTAAAAATTAATGAAAAACACACAATATATATTATATAACCAAACACAAAAATAAAGAGAACAAGCAATTATTTATTGTAACATAGTTACAATGCTGGGCTGCATTTTTAATCATAATTTTAATTTATTTAATTTAAAATATATTCTCTCCATCTCAAATTAGTAATGGTTTGCCTGTGCACACCATACTTTTCCTTTTAACAATAGTTATGCTGGTCATCTATCTAACACTTTTCAGAGGAAAATTTTTGAATTGAAATGACATGACTTCCAGTATGCATCAGAAGTTTGTATATAGTTAATTGGGGCCTCCTTATTTGGTCTAGTCTTTCATCTATCTAATTCCATTCTTGATATTAAGGAAAGCTAGATGGATAACAGTGGGAATTTATAGTTCTACAATTTTTTCAAATTGCCCAATAAAGTACTAAAAACATATAGGCATAACACAAGAGTAAGAGACAACTATATATATAGATGCAGATAACAAATAGGGGTCCCTAATTTTTCTTTGCCTAGAGGTGTCAGAAACTCTTACACTGACCTGAATAACTCTAGCTTTGACTCCAGCTCTTTTAAAAACTGTATGAGGTTTCTTATTTACCCAATGCTCTACAGTCTGATCAATTACAGCTGTCTCTACCTAGTCTCCCAATTACAAAGTAGGAACTGGCATTTTAGAAGAGTTACAAAATTCTTTGTGCATTCATTTTAATACTCTGTTTAATACTTCTAAAAATGTGATACTTGAATGTATAATTCCAATTTTATACCACATTTATTGTCAAATTTTTGGAGAAGTTCTTCATAGGATAATGAACTAAATTTGTTATCCTATTATCATTCAAATAATAGGATAAATCATCTTTCCATTATTCCCAACAGTCACTCTCATTTTTCTTCTATCTGAAAAAATTTCCTTACTGGTGATAAAAGTGATTGTAAAGTCTTCTTGTGTGCAATATAGCAGTACTATTTGTAGTATTCATTATAAAATAAGTTACTCGGATAGGAAAGTTTAAATTAGTTAACATATCTTTATTGCACCATGTATACAGATCTGATTTTGTGACTTTCTTTCATCCAATTAACTCTTGTAAACCTGGTCAAAACCTAGTCAATACAGTAAACCAAAGTATCAATACTGGACTTTTAAGGTTTACGAGAGTTAATTGTTTGCATTCCAGTATTTATGTAATAAGTTATTTATTTCTTTCATCCTTCCTTATTTAGGGGAAATGTCTCAAGTTACACACATTACCAAAATTATTATGACATCTGTTGTTCATTACACTGTGCTTAAAAGCAAGTTTCGTAAAAAAATTGTTAATTATTTTAAGAAACCAGATTGTCATATTTCTGTTTATATAGCTGTAAAAGAATAAAATTTCAGCTTTATAAAATAAGAATTTATCTATGAACTTTTCATTTATTACTTACTTAAAAGTTTCAAATATAATAATATTTGAAACTCTTAAGTAAATAAATTCTTATTTTACCTTTCTTATTCAAATTCTTAGTAAATAACTGTTTAAGATTTAAGTGTTCCTCACAACAATTAGCAGAACATGTAACCAACTCATGGCATCAAATCTGACTTGCAACATCACCAAACTTCTCACTTTATTTCCAGCAGTAATCAAAATGAAAAATTGGGACAAATCTGAGTTCAATAGGTTAGATTATTTTTTAAATTTTTTCTGTTAGTTTAGCATATATTTTTAAGTAAATAATAAGAAAATAATATAAAGAAAATGTTGATAACTGAAAATATTTAGCCTGCTCTGCTCAACACCGTCTAATAGATTGTTTTTTGCTTTTTTATTCTTATCAGTTCATATGTGCAAGATATTCAAAAATATCTTGCACATATGAACTGATAAGAAGTGATAGTAATGTTGAGATAACACAGGTATTAGCAGTGGCGTAGCTAAATATTCCTGGAATAAGTAGAATTGGTGCACCCCCTTGTTCCTTGAAAGAGGTCTGGCGAAATTTATTTTGAACATTTAATTTAAAAATATATATCTAATTATTTTGATTTAAAACCTTACTTAATAACAATTTATTTGAGATTTGAAGCATTTCAACAATAAGATATTCAATATAATAAATACACAAAAATAATAATAAAACAAAATGTAATTCTTTAAGTACGGAGTACATATTGATAATAATATTTACTACATATGATATAAACTGTATTGACAAAATGTATACAAGTTTAGTTTCGTAAGAAATACATAGTAATGCATGAAAAACCTTCAAAATTGTTTTCTTGCTTTATCATTTGCAAATTAATCAATCACTTTCTCCCGATCAAGTTGACAAGCTATTGTTTTTTAATTGATATAGTTTGTGACTAAGCTAACACTTTGTTGTGACATGCTACTTCTTAAATAAGTTTTGATTATTTCTAGTTTTGAAAAACTTTGTTCTGCTGTCGTTGTCATTGCCCATAAAGCTAATAAAATCAGGCATTCTGCAATAATGTCGGATACTTGAGGCTTGCAATGTGAATTAAAAGTAGTTTGGCAACTTCATGTATAGAAGTAATTTCTTTTACCTAAGCATAAAAACACATTTTAAATCAAAGCAGTTGAGGTCCAAAACAAGGCAAAATGTCAGAGTGATATACCAATTGTAACAATTTTGATCCTTCCAGAATATTTTTATCAGATGATGCAACAAGATATGCAGGTGATAAACACTTAAAAAGTGTACATAATTGTCAAACATATTCAAATTTAATAGTTAATTTATTAATTATCAAATCCAAAAACTTTTTACAAATGTTTTTACAAGTTTTTATTTTGCCCTTTCTAACTTGACACCCTCATGATTCGTGCGCCTGGAACAGTTTGCTCCAACTGCTCCATGGTAGCTATGCCTCTGAGTAGCCAGAAAAAAAAAGGGAAAAATCATTTTACTTAAGATTGTTTGAAACTAGAATATTTAATCATCCTAAAAAGTTTTTTGCTTTTGTGACAAGAGACAAAAACCGAAATGTTTAAGAACACCAACGTTTATTTTTTAACTCTTTCTGTTCTTGGATGCTAAAAATACCTTTTTTTATGCCCATTATGGATTTGGTCAAACCCATAGTAGAGATGGTCATGTGATAAAAGACAGGACATAACATACCAATTTTAAACCTCTCATGAAAATTTCTGAGGTTTTGACTAAAACAAAAGTCCCTGGAGCAAAAAATTGATGCCTCTATTATCTTGGTAATCCTAATTATATAGTTCAACTTTAACTTTAGTAGTACTCTATTTTTTAATTTTAAATATTTTTGTAGAAATTAAATTTTATGTAAAAGTTAATAATTTGTAAATTGCTTTTTACAATATTCTTTTATTTTTATTTGTAGATATAATCAGACTAAAAAATTTGATAATTGTAACCAACAAATACAATATCTGCCATTTCAAATTACTGCTCATATTGATAGTCTTGCTTTTATGGAAAAAAATTCTATTATATGTCTTGTTGCTGAAGTTATTCCTGTAGTGTCTGCTTACAAAGGTAATTTGTTGTCTTCTTAATGTTACAGTATTTTTTTAATAGTAAGAAGACAACTTTTAAAAGTCTGTCTCTCTTAATTTTTTATGGCATGGTTTTAAAAAGTATATTGGTGTTTTCAAATTATAGTTCCTGGAGAGATTCCAGCTATGACTTTTTCTACAAGGCACACTGTATCATGTCATTTTAGTCATGTGGATAACAGGTAATTATTTAGTTCATATATATAATATTTTCAAAATTTTGTATATTAAAAATTGTAAATTTATTGTAATTTGAAATCCATTTTATTCATTTTTTATTTACCTAATGAAATTCTTCTTTGTAAGAAACAACTCCCTTGTCTCCTTTGTAAACTTAAAAATGATAAAATATAAAATTCAAGATGTCATTGATTTATTTATAGAGAAACAAATCTAACATAGAAACATTTCTAGATAAGTTTGGCAATATACATACATACAAGACATTGGCTGTACACGAAGTGTTTAGCTGGCAGAAAAGAGGGTAAGGGAAAGGGAAAGGGGGAGATGAAGGAGGGAGAAGAGATATACAGTAGAGAAAGGTAGGATCCCTCTGAATGGCGTACATAAGACTACAGTACCCTCTATGTTTGATGTTAGCGTACAGTTTTTAGGCTGCAAGGCCAGAGTCCCCCGAAGGGTCTAAAATAGGGGTGTCCAACCTTTTCTTTCTCTGGGCCACATTGGAAGATGTCATGGAGTTTTGGGCCACAAGTATATTATATATATTTGTGGCCCAATCCTTAAATATACTTGTATATTTAAGGATTAACATGTCTAAATTATACTAATAAGTATTAAATCTTTATCATGAAAAAGGATATTTTAAAAAATTACTTCTACAGACACTTTCAATTTTTACTTAGAAATAGATAAATTAATTTATTATAAAGGAGACAAACAAAAATTTATTTGAAAAACACAAATATTTGTTTTATTTGGGTCTGTAATTAATAAAAAANAGACACTTTCAATTTTTACTTAGAAATAGATAAATTAATTTATTATAAAGGAGACAAACAAAAATTTATTTGAAAAACACAAATATTTGTTTTATTTGGGTCTGTAATTAATAAAAAATGACAAAACATCATTTTAAAGTGCATTTTTATTCGACTAATATATTTATAAATAATATGTAGCCCAAAAAGTAGCCAATGTGCCAAACTAAAAATAAGGGTAGCCAACTTTGGTGCAAAGTAGCCAAATCATGCAATGCTGGAAGGAATACTAAATAAAGCTGGAGTTGGGACTGAAAGGATTATAAACCCAAATGTGGGGAAAGAAGAGAAAGGACAAAAGATAAAGGTTGGAAAATTAAGGGTCCATATTTGCATAACAGAAAGTCTATTTAACCTTTCTCACTACTTTTAACCTTTTGGCCTTTCTCTCCTTTCCATGCATTTGGATTTATAATTCTTTGAGTCTCAACTTTAGCATTATTTAGTATTCCTTCCTCATTCACACATTTCCAAGTATTTGAAAATATTTCCTTTCCACTCAAAAATAAAATATGTATAAAAGTTTACAGCTTTGTGAAACTTCTTATTTTGAGTTTATGCCATTGAAATAAATAAATAAAATTTAATTTAAAAATTTGTCGCTTTTGTTTACACATTTATTGGGCCACATTGGAACTTGCCTTGGGCCGCGCGTTGGACACTCTTAGTCTAAAAGAAAATCTGAATGTAGCGAACACCAATAATTGAGTGTTATGCCATGAATAGATAAGTGTGGAAGTTAATGCCAAGTGGCTGTTATTAGGAAGACTTATATCTACTTAATACTAATAAAATTGAACATGATTGCAAATCTTAATACTACTTAACAGCTAGACAGACAGCATGACAGTTCAGCAACAATAGCTTTGGCTTTATCCTGAAGATAGGCCAAGAAAGTGATTCCACCACACATTTTCTTTATTTAAATATCACTTTGAGAGATGGACAGATAATCACAAATACATGTTTTAAGCAAATATACCACCTCTACTTTATCCCTGTGGTTTCCAATAACTTGTATATGATCAAGCTTTTAGCTTAGAGCCTTTATAACTTTAATTAGAAGGGCTTTCTCCCATTGCACAAGTATACTAGATAAACAAAAAGAACTAGTGTATATGGTGAATATATATCCTCACATCATGGAATGATATGGCAATTAACTAAATTTTGTTTACAAAGCAAGGGGGCAATCTCTATCCACAATACACACACACACAGAATTATCAAATGCAATAAGACTATCCATACCACTCAAATCACTGCACATATAAAGGACCTGTAAATTCTTGAAATCTTTAAATCAGCAAATAAAAGCAATTGCATTAACTAGAAACAGGTGGAGTCTATCTTATTGTGTGGAAGACATTTTACAACTCCCTGTAAAGCTCTCCAACTTCATATTCCCATCTCATTAAAATATGATCTTTGGCTCATAATATTTATTTTTATCATTTAATCTTTGTATATTTATATATTTGTCTTAATCATTTACATTTATATCTATTTATCCCATCTTTGACATATTGTCTGAATGAAACATCATTTAAAAGTTTGCAAGTTTTCCCATTCAGAATTTAAGCGTGAATTTGTTACTTTCTCTGGCACATTGTGTGTAGAATGTTATTTCAATGTATAATTTTTAAACCATTTTCAAACATGTTAATGATAATCTTCTAATTTAGAAATGTTAGTTAAAATAATTAATTTTAAAAGATGTTAAGTATATGATCACAATTTAAAACTAACAAGTCATATATATTTAATTACAGTGCTGTGCCTTATTTGGGATATTTGCCTCAAGATATGATTGGTTATTCTGTCTTTGATTTCTATCATGTGGATGACATGCCACAACTTAAAGATATTTATGAGTTAGGTAATATTAGAATTATTTAATAAATATTTAATAAAATATTTTGGTAAATATTTATAATTACTAATTTTTTGTATTTTTTTTAATAGTTGTTAAAGAGCAAGGATGTTCTTTTCGAAGTAAACCATATCGTTTTCGTGTATTTAATGGATGCTATATTACTATTGAAACTGAGTGGTCATGCTTTATTAATCCATGGTCTTACAAATTGGAATTTGTAGTTGGCCAGCATCGAGTGTTAAAGTAATCAATAAATAATAATAATAATAATAAATTATTATAGCTATTAATTTGAATTATAATTATAACATAAAATTAACAATACGATAATGGGTGTACAGAAATTTAAGAGCCACTTATTAAAGAGCTAATAAAATCGATATTACATCGATTTTATCAGCTCTTTATGTTAATTCAGACTGAAACAAGGTCACATGCAAGGCACAATATGTCAGAACCTGTAATGAGTACCATATTGATTATTCAGTCAGGCAAGCAAAAGTGAGGAGGAAAGGTGATCAGTATCTTACTCAAATGATATGCCATTACTAAGAAAACATTGAAAGAAAAGATAGAAAGACAACCTGTGATCATTTTGCAACTGAAAATATTTGAAGAACTACAACAAACCAGATATTGGCCCACACGAATAAAAATGCAGGAAATGCTAATAAGCATAAGGTGGAAGTAAAAGCAAATGATTTGAGTAAAAGGTTGAAACAAAAGTATTTTCTCTGTTCGGTATGAATAATGATTATCATATACTTCCAAGCAAATGCTTTTGGTAAACAAATAAAAGGTTCTAGATGGTAAGTTACAACACCTTTAATCATGTTTCTATGTTCTATTGTATTAGCTGTATTCAATTCATATTAATCATACATATGCTGGCCTTTGTTAATTAGTGTAGATATCCAACTAACATCAACACTAGTGAATGTGCATCTGGCATCAGAAGTAGCTTGTATGTTTAATGTGGTTTTCCATTTTGATTAATGTACTCATCACCATGAAATCTAGGTTTTTCTATTCTTATGTGGGGCAGTCAATCACACCAATTGCAATTGGAAAGTGGTATTTATTTTGACATAGCTGTTTTGCTTCCATGACAGAATGATCTGTTGTTGGAAATTTTATTGAATGATCAGCCTGAGCTATTATTTTCTCCACAACATTGCTCACAGTTTGTGACACTGTTGATTGCTCTATACCAAGTTCTTCTATACCTTTTTGGAATCCAAGATCAGCTAAATATCTGAAACATGTTTTTACTTTTGTAAAGAAGTTAGCAGACCACCGCATTATTCAGTCGTTACTAATAAAAAATTGTGCACCAACTATTCGAGCTATTTATAAATAATACAATAAATGTTTTATTATATTCTTTATGTAACATTTTACAACAAGACAACAATTAATTTATGACAGACATATACTATATTTAAATAATTTAGAATAATACCTTATGGAAATCAAAACTTACTTCTTTTTCAAACAAGTTTTTACAAAATAATTTATGTAAGTATGCTGCTACATAGAGTTTTTTAAATTTGCTACATACAGCTGATTGAATATACAGATATAGACTCTTCTTTCATAGACATATTCTGTAATGAGATACGTCAAATTGGAAAAGAATTCTGTTATGGTAGATTATATCCACACATACAGTTAGCAAAAGACCAGTCCCCATTTAAAAAATAAACTCAAATTTTGTTTACAATGCTCTTTCTTATTTCTTGGTCTTTTAATTGTCTGCTATTTACTTTCTCTTTTTGCCGTTGGGCATCGCCTATCATTCTTCCGACTTATCAAGAACCTTTTACTTGTTTACCAAAAGCATTTGCTCAGAAGTATAAGGTAATCATTATTCATACCAATTAGATAATATGCTTTTGTTTCTTTTGCTCGAAGCATTTGCTTTTACTTCTACCTTATGCTCATTAGCATTTCCTTTGTTTTTATTCATACAGGCCAATACCTTAAAATCACTGACTTGTGAAGAGGAACAAAGTTTATAACATTTAACCTTCCTTAGATTAACTATTTCAGACATGGTTAACATTAACAGAAAATAAACCTAGATAAAAGCAACTACAAACCACATTTCTTGCAGTTGAGTCTACATCTGACTATATGCATGTATTTTAAAGTATATGCTTATAATTCAAAGTAAATGCTTACTTTTATTCATACAGAATACTTATTACTAAAGCAAAACCTTCATTTAAAAGAATTTTCTTCATGCTCAAAGTATAAGATTTTGCTTCTATTTTTATTCATATGGCTAAGAGGATTTCCTTCAAATTTTACAAGAATAAGGTAATGCTTGTTTTTACTTTTATGGCTCATTGAATAGATTTGAAAAATGAGGTACTGCAGAATATCAGTAAGTAATGAGCAGACTAATAACTGTGAAGATGCCAAAGTAACTAGGGCAGCAGAGCAAACTTCCAAGATAAACTCTGAAATATCTGTTTGAAATAGGCTGCAAAACTTGGTTTAGCAGTAAGAACTCTGTAAAATATTAAAGTGAAGAAACTAGGAATCACTGCACACAAGGAAATAGCTATTTCAAAACATTCCTTGAATCAAGAAAATCACACAACCAAAAACTTATTAACATAGGTTGAAGGGTAAGATTTTGGATGATGAAATCTACTGCCCAATTGACCCATAACAAGTTCCAGGACTGAAGTTTTATCATTGCAGTAACCAGTCAGAAGTCAAAATGAAGTTAAGTTTACCACTAAGTAGAAATAAATCTCTTCAAAATTTTTGATATGGCAGACATTGATGAATGTTGTCACATATCTGAACCCTATATCTCAGTTAGAACATGTGTGGTGATATGTACTTAATTGAGTATGTTAATTAAGAAGCATCTGCTTTCATTCATCTTGGAACTTTATAAAATTGAGGAAGTTTTGGTCTGATCCGAACTAGCTTGTGTCCATTATGAAAGGCAAGTTGTGAATCATTTTAACACTGTAGAACTGAATTTTGTGGAAAAAGAATATGCTCCAAATATTCTTCAAAATCAATTACAATAACAGGTTACTGTGATTGATTTCGAAGAGTCTGAAATATCAGTGTAGGCTTTGTTGCGGATTGTATCTTTACTGAAGAGGGATTGGCAAGAATTCCAATCCAAAATGCATTTAAATAAAATATCTGAGAATTAATTATCTTCTGAGAAATTCTTGAACTTGGGTGAGCTTTGGATTTGAAGGACATAATATTTTGGTTTATTCATCAAATAAAAATCCCTTTTAAGTAGTTATGAAAGTGAATGAATGACTTAATTAAATTAAGAAACAGATTGTACTTTCCATATGTTACTGCATATCTTATTTCTTTAATAAATCTTTTAGTACATTAATTAAAAAAAACACTTATTGGCTTACATGAATGACTTTATTTATTTCCAAATATAATAGCAGCAATTAAGAATTTGAGAAGTATTCATATATTCAAAATCTTTCATTGCAGAGGTCCAGAAAATATTGATGTTTTCAAACAGAGCAGCAAAGAAATTACTATTGCTGAAGAAATACTGAAAGAAAGTGAGAGAATTCAAGAAGAAATTAAAAGTATTTTATCACAGGTAAAATATACTTTTAATTTAATAGGATGAAATAGAAATAATTATTTAAACTTTTAAAATAATTAATACAGTAGATCTCTGCTTTTGTATTTTAATTAGTTTCTAGCTGGAGAATTATTAAGCAAGACATCAAATTCCCCATAAGTTTAACGTTAACAAAAAATTATGACATTTTGTATACTTATAATAGATAATTTATACCAGTTTTAAAATAAGAAGATTGTAATGTGAACAGTTGTAAAGCAAAAGTCTAATGAATATATATCAGAAACTGACTTTTTTCATATTAACACTTTTTAACCATTTTATATTAATTTTTTGTATGTACAGCATCTCAATAGTTTGAGGATCCATATAGTTTGAGGCTCTACCATAAGCCAAAGTACACATACTCAACCAGAAACACGTAAAATTTATATATTTCAGTAATTCAAATCAAGTGTATGATGAGATTCCATAAACTGAAATTGTAAGTACACTGAAAGGCATAAAACTGACTTTCAATATACTGCATTTATGAAATGATATCATTGCTATTTGCCCCCTATTGTATAGCATATCAATTAATTGTATTTTAAGTGCAATATATTATTATCATTATCATTACTAAAGCAATATTTTTATATAAAATAATGAATGTATTCAGGGCTGGCTCAAGAGTTTATGGATACTCTAAACAGATTTCAATCTTGGTACCCCATAGAGAAACAAAATAAAAATAACCTAATATTTTTTACTTATAAAATTCAAAAATAATATATACACAAATTAAATCACAAGGAAACAATAAACAAACTGAAACAAACTTTTCTTATTTAAATTGTAACTTTCTGAGCTTTCTTTTTAGCAAATTCAGTAACAATATCTTTTATATCTATACTTTTGCTATTTCATGTTCAATTGAAATTAATAATGATCCAATTAGTCTTTCTTGGACTATTGATGAATGAAGATTTGTTTTTATTTTCACTTTTGAAAAAATTCTCCAATGACAACTGAGATTGGAAGCATTAATAAAGTAAGCAATGGCTGCTCTTCCTCAATTCTTATTGAGAGAATTCTTCACAAATATCTCTCACAACATCTACCATCCTATGGGTACAGCATCATTGAACTGTTATGCCTTGTTGAGAAACTACACAACCTCACACCTATTTAATGAAAAATATATCACTCTCTTTGACTTTGAGGCCTGTACCTTGAACCTTGTTTTTGTCAATTATAGGACTCTCCCTGTGAATGGTTGAAAACAGAAAAATATCTTCTGTTTTCAACCATTGAAATGTTTTCCAGTAATCTTTTTCTCTTGAACAGTTATTGTTCCTTCTCTAATTTGTTTTGAATCTTGTTACTCATTTGTTACATCTATTGACTTTCTGCACACAAATGCACTCGTAGACATTCAACAGCAATCTTTACCATTTCTCTAAATATTTTTTAGAATTCAAATTTCTATTAGCAATCAACAATTATATCTAATAATCTATGTATGAATTTATCAATAATCTCATTTCGAGTGAGATAAACTTTTGCATACATAATAATACAAATACATAATAATATAGAGAATAAATTTAAATATTTTTCAGCCGATCAAAACATGTCTATCAAAACATCGTAATGATAAGTGGAAGAGAGAGCTATCTTCTGATATTAATTGCTTAATTAATGATGTGAAAAAGGAAAGAAATGAAGAAAGTATGTATCTAATTTCATAATAAATTTATTGAATGTAAAATCTTATGTTATTTGATTTGTTTGATTATCATTTAAAAACTTTAAATGATAGTATTCACAAAATTTCATACAATACAGTTTTAATTGTAAATAATTAACATTGATGACATAATCTTTAACAGAAGATGATCAAGCTGGAAATGAAGGATGTAGTTGTTCTGTAAGTATTTTATTTGCTTCAAGTTTATTAATTATAAAAACTTTTCTTGATATTTAATGCTTAAAGATGCTCCCCATTTGTGACAAGATTCTATTTCAAATATATAGTTATATGTTGAACAGTTACAAGTTAGAAATTGCATTGTATTAATATCTTTGAAAACTTCTTACTTAAAGAGCATATGATACAACTTCTTTAAATGAGAAGTTTAGTTTTTATTATTCTATCTTAAGACAAGGAGTCAAAAAGAATGTCTTGTTTGTTTTCTTATATTAGACAATCCTGTATTTATTATTAATTACTCATTGCATTTAAATTCTAAATTGTAATTCACACTATACTACTCATACATAAAAATTGATATTCATATATCATTACTCATTATTCATTACTCAAAAAAAGAAAATATGATTTAGAGATGATTATTGTCCAGATATTTATGTATCAGTCATAAATAAGAGAGTATCTGCATTAAAGAATAAAATGATTTTCTTATTGGAATTTAAAATATAAATTAGGATCAAGGATCTGTATTAATGGGAGAAATATCACCTCATCAAGAATTTAATGATTCTGATCCATTAAGTGAAACACCACCATCATTTCAAGAGATGCGCTTTAAGGAAAACATAGAAAGGTGAGATATGCAAAGTATTTGTTAATTTTACATATATATAATATTTATATATATATATAATATATATATAATATTTATGAAAAATAGATATATTGTATGTATAAAGGAAACTTAATGGAAATTTATTCTATTTTTATATTTATTTGTAGCATGAAAATGCATTTCAGACAGCTTTTCTTTTAAATGTCATAAGCATTGTAATAAATACGTTGTACATAGATACTAAACTGTAAATACTCAAATTTCCTTGAAAGACTTTTCAATTTGGATCATTTGTTAACAGAGCTATTTTACTGCGTATCTTTCTAGGGATCTCTTAAATCAGAAGTGTTACTAAAAATAAAAGGTTGTTACAGAATATCACCATTCTGATGCTAAATTCTCATATTGATGTTCCAAAGTCAAAAAGATAGCCACATAAAAATTTTATCATGCATGAATACTCACATATGAATAAACAAGGCAAAGGAAACCAATTCCAAGAATGAAATTATAAGAAAGCAAATGTTTTTTACTGTGTTGCATGGGATGGGCATTTTTAAACTAACTGACCTTCATAACTGTTAAAACAAGGGGATTGCTGTCCACTTGTTAAGAGGGGTGTTGTAAGAAAGAGAGAGGGGGAAAGGGTTGTAAGATTAAAGATCATAGAACAACTTCCACACAAGGGGAAGGAATCTGCATCTCAAAAGTTTATAATGGCATTTTTTTTCACGGCTTTGTAAATCTCTAATTGTTCTAAATATCTAAGTCGTTCTTTGTGGGTGATGCTATGTAGGAGGTGGGCACAGCCAAAATGTACATCTGTGCTGGGGTCAGAGGCTAATGCAATGTTGGTCAGCCTTTTCAAAATGGAAGTTCAATGTTCTTTGAGATGGATGTTTAAAGGTCACCCTGTAGCACCATGTATTCTAAGTTGCAGTTGGTATCTGAAATGGGAATAATATATATACTAGGTTGGAAGCACATATCTGGATGGTCTTTAGTGTTGCAGAGAAGGGTGAAAACTGATAAACATTTGAAAGCTAATCAAAAATTATTGTTGGAAGGTTGGATCAGTTTGTTGTAGAATTTTCTCACGGATGTCGGAATCTCGTAAACCATGTATCAATTGTACTCTTAACATCAGATCTTATGACAGATTTTATACAGTCCACATCGTTACAACTAAACTTGAAATTTGCACTTTTTGAGAGTTGTTTTAACAAAGTCACATAAATGGACTCACCATTATATTGCACTATGGAGAAAAATTTATGCTGTTTGGTTAGATGATTTTGTAGTAACTTCATTAATTCAGCAAAGGTTCACCTAGAGGGTATTTCTGATGCCCTAGGTTGATCAGTAGCTGATAATGCTTCAGTCCAAGACAATTGATTAATATCATTACTTTAGCTTCTTCAGTAATGGCATCTGTTCCAGTTAGTCCTTTGATTTTGAAAAAGTTATCCAGTCATTGGGAATAGTTTTCAAAGGTCTTGGATGTTTCATCGTAAGTTTCGAAGGTTAAGGCTTGCATTTGGAGAACTCGTTGAACTGATAGTTTTGGTTTCATCTCCATCGACTGACTATATAGTTTCTTAATGAACACATTTAGAGTTGAAATTAATTCCATAAGTTCACTTATTTTTATATCCTTTTTATCCTCATTGCTAATTGTTATGTCTGTAAAATAAATGACTCTTGTTAACATATATAATTAACTTTATTATAATGAAACATAAATTTGTGATAATACAAATGTAACTTTGTGCCTCCAGATCTAAGTGTCACTACAGCTAACGCACGACTGACCGAAGACAAAGGAACACAACGAAGGTCAGAGGTGCGGAGTTGCCTAACTAGGTCAAGGGGTAATTCGGTGTGGGTTATCCCCTGGATGTTTACATATATAACAATTTGTCACTAGAGAGAGGATTAGGTGCCATTTCAGTTAATTAAGCATGGCACTGTAAGTAACCAAGGATGGTTATATCATATTTAAATATCTCTGGAAGAGGAGATTAGACTGGAGGCTCAGGTAGTGTAACTGGCAACACATTCACAAGGTAAGCAGGAGTTGCGAGTTTGAGTCCTGCAGAAAAGTAGCCCAATATAATCACTGAAAATTAGCCCAATGTAATCCAGTAGTTGTTTGGCTTTGCAAAAGTATTTTTATGAAATTTTTGAATTATGCTTGTATTGTCGATATTGCATTATTCTCATCTAATAATTATACAGGCATTTGTGATTATATTTGTTATTAAAATTTAATTCAACAATCACACCACACAATTGCAGTCACAGATATCTTACTTTCAGAAAAATGTAGGCTAATAAGAGTAATGGGATATCTATCACTCCCATTAGCATTCCTCTTCCTCATAATTCCCCATGGTATAATAATAATTAAAGAGAAACCACAAAACAAGACTCTGAAAACAGAAATGAAAGATGCTCCTTCAGTTTCTTCTACCATCTCCACAGACATCAAACAAGAAAGAATATCTAGGATCTTCAATAAAAGATATTGAATTCTTTTCAGTAACTTCATCTGAGTTTGGTTTTTAAACTGCATTTCTTTAACTGTTTAAATTTATTTGTTACAAATGACTTAAGCATACAGTTTTATTTTCTAATTACTATTATTAAGAATTTTTAAAAATAATGCATCATTAATATAAAACTTAAAATTTTAGATTTTTTGCAAGTCATCCTAAAACATATTCATCTGATGGTTCTGGTGGTGGTAAATGTGAAGAGCGGCAGACACCTAATATGATTACTGATGAAGAAAATGGAAAAATAACTGGTGAATTCCGTTCCAAATTTCCTAATTAGCATTTTTTTCAAAATTAAATTAGTGTATTATTAGTTTATAAGTTAAAAATATTCAACAACGTAAGATTGGTGATTTATATATAGAGAGAAGTACATCACATTGTGAGTAGACAGGAAAGAAGTTATGGTTGATATGTCAACAAATAATTGTTGTGAACCATCTAAAATTAATGCATATAATGAAGAACTTGAACTGATAATATAGTACACGTATGTAATGTGTAAGCATGTTAAACAGAGTTGCAATTCATATTCCATTCCAGTGTTGCATTTTTAGGCTTTGTTAAATTTAACTACATTATTTTAAAATTTTTCTAATTACTAAAGTCATTAATTGACAGTGACATATCTATCTATTATAATACTAATACAAGATATCCAAGAAAGATATTTGACTTATATTATGCAAATTCATAACACAAAAATGTAGCTATTTATTGAAATGTTAAATTTGGGAATTTGTTAAAAATTGTCAAAAAGTCAGGAAATTTGCTTCCTTAGCTGTCTTGTTGATTTTTTGCTGACAATATGCTTGACTAAGTATAGCCGTCTGCAGGCAGCAAGAAGCAATGTGGTTCAATACAACTTATGAAAAGGAGTGCAGAATATATTCAGGACCCAAAATTTCTCCCAAGCTTACACAAAATTTTTGCAAAAATTTACAAAGTACACAAAATGATAAATAATTTAAATGGTATTATTTATCATTTTTCATTTTAATAATATTTTGGTTGCATAACAAAACAATTTCTGATTTTTTTCAGTTTATTAATATTTTATAAAGGCCAGGAAATTTATTAAGAGAGAAATCTAATGAATACAGTGGTGCCTCGTACAACGTACTTAATCTGTTCCAGGTGCACGTCCGTTAAGTGAAACGTCTGTTATACGAAATGCATTTTCCCATAGAAATACATGTTAAAACATATAATTCGTTCTGCAGCATAAAATAACCGTACTGTACCATAAAAAATGAAAATGGAGCGGACACCAATTATGCCGGGTAGTCAGATGTTGTGAGGAGGAGGTGGAAGAACACTTTCTTTACACATTCATACAGATACAGACTTTTTACACATTGCAGCGGGTCTTTTTTTATTGTTTTTTAATCGGAGTCAGATTCAGGAGAGGCTACCGGAACTTGCAGGGTCAACTTCTCTTGTTCCATCCTTTGTTTTTTGCCCGCTGGCTTCTTGAAAAACATGACCAAGGTGGTCTGTTTCTCTTTCTTCTTTAACACCTGTCGGAAATGACGGACAAAGGTGTCATCGTAGAGATCATTGATCCTGTTGGCCTCAGCTCTGTTTGGATAATGAGTGTTGGTAAACTCCTGAACCTCTCCCCATTCGACAAGAAAGTTTTTGTCAACTTTCACTCCTGATGATTTCTTGCTTTGTTTCAATTGAAATCACCTTTCTTTTTTTTTTTTTTAGAAGCCATGATGCATTATAAATGACTTAACTTGCCAGATTATATGATACGAATAATTCTTTATTAATTAAGATCACTAAACACTTCTACGAGCTACTCTCGCTCCGTTTGTTTTTTACAACCTCTTTTCGTCCCGCCACCTTGGCATTTACACAATTACATTTCGTTTATTTGAATCGTCAACATATACTGTATTACATTACATTTAATGTTTATTTAAATCATCAACATATATTACATTACATTTCTACTTCAGATATACTAATAATACATTCTAATAATACTAATATATTCTAAAAATAGCAGATTGTCATTGGCAACAGCAAAAGAGTGGAAACATCATTCACACTTGTTCGAAGAAAGTCCATTGTTCGTCTCACGTAACTGCTGAACGGAAAGTCCGTTGTTCGCAGCAAGTCCGTTGCTCGAGTCACATAACGGTCAAACAGAAAGTCCGTTATTCGCAGCGTCCGTTATTCGAGGTGTACGTTATACGAGGCACCACTGTATATACTTTTGTACATGGATTATATAGAATTTGTTAATGAATAATAAAAAATAATTGCTTTTTTTTTCCTTTTTTTCAAAGACATGTAGATTTATGATTGTGGATTAATAACAGAATTTTAATAAAACATTTTATTTTTGATTTTAATAATTTGGCAGTTATAAAAAATATATAACTGTTAATTAGAAAAAATAACTAATTAAAACATCGGAAAAGCAGAAAATATGTGCATAGGAAGTCTAGTGCTGTTTTAATTTGTCAATGTAGTATTCTGTAAGTTGGTCAGGAAAAGTCATGGAAATAAAAACAAAAATTTGAATAGGAACCCTGTATATAGTAGAAGTTTATTAATCTGCACCTATCAGAACTATCTACATCTGTGGGAATCTTCATCTTTGCCAAAAATGCCATTTTACCAGACATTTTGGTACTTTCACAAAATTCAGTAAGTGATATGTGATTTGAACATTGCAGACATTGATGTTTATATTGTACCAGCTGTATACACTTTTCTATGCTTCTGATTTGTTTACACACACTTTTTAATCACTCTGAAAGATGATACAGTGCATGACTTGGACTGTACCACAAATCTAATGGGTTTGTGAGTTTCAACATTTTTAAACTATTAATCAACAACTTGATAAAGCATACTCTCCCTGTAGATGCTACTAAAATAAGAAAAAAATTATATTAATATTAGTTGTTAGAATAATTGAGGAATCATAATCCACGAAGACCTTTCTGTACAAGTGTTATGTTCAACGAGGCAGACCTCGGTGGAGGTTGAAAGCGTTTGTGGAGTAGTTAAGAACATAACACTTTGTTGAGTAATAATAATCCACGAAAACCTTTCTGTACAAGTGTTAAGTTGTTGGAAGTCGTTTTGAATTGAGGAATCACATTTAGAAACAAATACTGTTTAAATGGTGTATAAATTGTGTATTATTAATGCCTTGAAATCAAAACCTAGAAATGTGTTAAGATGTTGTATCAATAATTAAGAACAGTTAGTATTAAAAAGGATAAAATCATCCAAAAATCAATATAAGTATTTTAAGTTTATAAATACAGTAGCCCCTTGTTATATTGAGCTTGTTGGGAGACAAAGAAAAAGTGTGATATATCTGGCAGCACAATATAACCAAGTAATAAAAATTCTGGGCTTATACTAAATAGATTATTCATGCTATGGAAACTCTATCCTGTATTCTTTCATCAGCAAGTTGTTTCTGATATAAAATAACCTTAGTTTTGCAATACTGAATTTTATTCATGGTTATATCATATTAATTGATGTTTAGATACATCTCGATACCATGAATGCCTATTTAGCATTATTGTTTCTTTAACAATGACATTTAAAGACAAACACTGTGAATGTAAAAACAAAATATCAGTTGCGATTTTATTATACAGTACTATATTCCATAATAATTTGCTTATTAAAAATTTGTATACAGTCGACCCCCTATAACACTGTTGATTATTCTGTTTTATATGAATTCCATGTTGTACTAGTCACTTAGATTTTACAAATACGTGAGCCGTTCACAGCCTGTTACATGTATTTGTAAAATCTAAGTGACTTGTACAACATGGAATTCATATAAAACAAAATAATCAACAGTGTTATAGGGGGGTCGACTGCAATTTATATTTTTCAATAAAAATTAGAAATACAGTAATTGAAAATTTAAAAAATAAACATTGAACATATACTAGAACATGAAAACTTATAAATTTACAGAGTAAATATTCTCTAAAAAGCAAAATAAAGTTACTACTGTATAAAACTTATAGAACTTTCTGTTCAGAAATAAAGAAATCTTTTCCTTACACATTACCTGGTGAATTCAAAATGTCACACCTTCATGTGAATTGACGCAATACCTTCAATTCACATAGTCGTAAATTTCAAATTTACAGAAACTTTTAAATGAGGAGACAGTACTTAAAACCAATAAATAAACAACTTTTGATATTAAAAGGAAACATAAATGATAATTGATCTGTCCACCTGTTTTGCTTATTTAGATCTTGACAAATTTATTGTTTCACCTGCAGTGGCAGTTTCAAGGAAAATGGTAGGAATAAATTATCATATTTTGTTGCAAAAAGAAATTAAATGGCAATTGATATTTTAAAATTTATTGACTTAAGTGCTTTTAAAATTTGGGGATAAAAAAAGTGTGATATATCCAAATCCACAATATAACAAGGCAAGATATAATGAGAGGCCATTGTACTAAAGTAAAAGAAAACTTATTTAGATAATAAATAGAAATATTAATTGAAATTTATTTATTTTCTTTTATTTCATTAAAAGATGAAAAGGATAAACATTTTATTCATTGCACTAAATCATCAGGAAGATATGACTGTAGGATTCAAGCATCTAGCTGTGGTTCATCCAAATGGAAAATGTCTTCTGTAACAACTGCAGATTCTGGAAATGGATCATTGCAAACAGTTGAAAGAATGCAGCCAATGGACAGCAGCAGTGGAAGTAGCAGTAGAGGCAGTTATGATAATTATCCTCCTTGTCAAACACTCACAGAACAAGTGTTATCACAACATAATAGGATGACTCACAAACATTTAAAGCAAAGAAAAAGCATACTGTCTTCATCTTCAGGAGGACTGACACGTAAAGAAAACCATCGTTTGAAACGTAGTGGATCTCCACAGTCCTGTGAACACACAACAGGAGTTCACAAGCACAGTAAAACTAATAGAGGTCAAATGGTTAGCACTGTTACTGTTCCAACACAAACGGATGCATCATTGCCTGTTTCATTCAATCTTGCATCTCCATTTTCTTTTCCTGGATATCCAATTGTTGCTCAACCACCAACCTCTCACTCGACAACTGTTAACAGTTCAACATCATCTTCAGTATATCCACCATCACTGGCTAACTTTGCTATTCCTGTTTATGGATACTTGCCACCAAGTAATACATCTGCCACTCCTTTTTTCATGCCTGGTAAAAAACTTTTTTAATTTATTATAAAATAAAAATTATTCTTCATTGTTGTTATATTTATTTTTATAATCATAGTGTAGAACTAGATTGCTCATGAAAAGTTAAATGATAATTTTAAGTTTTGAAATATTATAAAAAAAAAGCATACATACATATTAAATAAGATTTTTTATAAAGGTCATATTATATTTGACAGAATAAAAAATGATAAATAAAATATCCTGTTTATTTTAAAAATATGCAAACATTTATTGCAAAAATAGATAATTATTATTTCTTTTAAACAAATAAAACTAATAAGATATAGTTGTATGATTGATTATTCTTTATTGATTTGTAAGTTATACAGCAATAATTCATATTAAAATAATCTAGTTCAGCATTTCTGAAACTCTGGGTTGTGACCAATTATTGGGTGATGGGTTAGTAACATTTTGTGATCCAGTCAGTGATGGGTCACAAAATGTTACTAACTTCCACAGAAATACTTGTAATACTTGTATTACTGAAATATTCTCTAAAAACTAAGAACAATAGATGCATCTCTAAGTACTAAAAATTTTTTTAACTTTTTTCCTCGTAATTATTATTGTCATTTAGTAATAAAATTAAGATTATAGAATATGTGTATATGAAATTGATTTCTCTTTTCTATTTTGAATAACATCAAAATAGATATTTTATGTGAAAACCCAGGCCAATATTTTTGTAATTTCAATGATCCTAATTATTTAATTTTTGTTCAAGGAAAAAGAAAATTATATTTAAGCCCAAATTAATAAATTCAACAGAGGAAATTTGCAAGATTTTCCCATTGATAACACTTCCTTTATGGGTGATACATTTCGATAAAAACTACTCATCAAAGGAATTGTCACAAAAAATCAGGTGTTAGACTAACCACCCGTTCTCTGCATGACCTTACCAAATATGGTCATCAGAATAGCAGGGGGAATAAACCTAAATAAAAATAGAAGGTAAGGAAGGTCAAGAGAGAATTTGCCTGCCCATTTTGAAGTGTTTACTCATCTCGAGACACCATGCTCCACTGCCAATCTTCTTGATTTTCTGCCATTTTTATCAGACCTTGGCCACTCTGAACTAACTATTACAGACTACTCAGGATTCATCATACCCAAGCCTTCCCTTTGTCATATCCAACTGAATATCACAAATTCTGATATTTATCAACTTACGTATGCAGTTGTAAACAGTCTCTTGTTTAGGTGTCCCTCTATTTCTAGTTTTTCCTTATAATTTTTTAGCCACTTGAAAAATAAATATTTGTTGTATTATGATTAAATGTGTAGTGGAATGCATTCTTTCCAGTGTGCTGTCTCCTACCTCCCTCCTCCATCCCAAGCCCATTCATTCTCTCATGACTGCTTGTGCAATTATAATTATAAGAAAAGGTTACTGTGCACCTAAAGGCACAGGTGGTGTCAGTCCTGACTTGGGCATTGCAACATAGCTGTCGCAGTGCCCAAGTCAGGACTGGTCACATTTATATAAGGTCATAGTCATAAAGCCATTTAAGTTGCAATGGATTTAAAATATTTTCTTGTTTATTCAAACTTTTAGATTTATTGTCATACATAACAATAAATTATAAAAAATTAATAAAGGATGAATTTTGGCAGAAGTGGATCAATAAATAATTTTTAAATAATTTTCTTTTTTTTGTTTTTTTTCTTTCTTTCTTTAGACAAATGAGATTGTCTAAATCTTATTATAATCTGAAAAGTACATTTTAAAAAAGGATTCATTAAGTTTATAAAGAAAATGTGTAATATTTTTAAAAGTAAAATAGACTCCTGAATAATTTTGAAACAATCTGTTGTGGTGATACACCAGTTGTTTTTTTTTATTTTTTTTTATTTGTATTTTGTATTAAGCCTATGATTAAGTTTCCTCGATCTTTTGTCTAACACTTTCTCGAACTTTCTAACGGTCCTGTTTCCCTGCTGGTGGTAAAACATTTCCGAGAACTACAAAGAAAAACAAGGGTGTGGAAGTAGGCCCTGAGGCAAGGAGAGAAAGGGTGAGGGGGGACTTTGGAGCTAGCGTTGGGAGAGGACGGACAGTGCGAGGAGATCCTGGTCGCCGTAACGAAGGAGAAGGGAGCGATTCGAGGACAACGAGAGCGAGACATCACGGGAAGGAAGGAAGATCACGGTAGTTCATTTTCATCGATGTGAGTGGACTCTGAAGAAAAAGAATAGACACGGGTACCCCCACCAGCAATCTTCCCTTATTTCTCTTATTCTTAATATTAATATTTTCCCTTCATTCTACTGTCTCATTTAGTATATAGATTAGGTTAAGATAGGTTAAGTACAGTTTTAAATTGTCGCGAAGTACTGTTGCACTCTCTTTCCGATATAATTATATGTTACGCGAGTTGTATGTATCGGAGTTGGGATCACTGAGAATATTGTATACTTGCACGAACAACAATAAAACTTTTGTTGTAGACCACTTTCTTTGTGTTGTCCATCCACGTGCTCTCCACACTGTTTTATTTACAATTGTCAGTCTTGCATTTGTTAATAGTTAAATTTCAATAGTGAAAACTGAAATTGAAGTAAGTTATTTGTTACAAATCAAAATTGGCCTAAACTGCTCTTAACAGAAATGTACCCAATGTTGAAGTTTTTATCAATAATGCATAATTTTATTTTATTACATAATATACACTGACTCCAGTTTACCAGGTTTTTTAAAAATTTGATATTATGAATATGATAATAACATTTGGGTTGTGGAATAATTACAAACAAATTTTGGGTCATGTCAGTGGTGTAGCGTGGGTGTCAGCCGCCCGGGGCAAAGGAAAATTTCGCCGTCCCCTTATTTAGGTATCTCAATTTAAAAGACTAAAATTCAGATTCGTCACAGAATAAGTAATAAAAAATTCTGTGCTAGTGTTGCCACCTTTTTAAAATCGCTGACCCGAACGGCAGGTGAGGTTTGTTTGAACAGAAGTTTCTGATGCATGCATATGTCATTTTGCAATGTGAAGAATAATGTGCAGTGCATGCCAGTTCTAAATCATTTACAGTTAGCGACTAGGGAGACTTGGGTAGGAGTAACATAAGTAACCTAGATGACTTAGCTCTATTGGTTATTGGAGTTGTATATGAATACAAATGAATCGTACAAGGAAAAAAAAAAAGAAAGAAAGAAAGAAAGGTCGACAGGTTGCGCACAAAATCCCCAGGTGAAATTAATAGTCCACCCGGACTGTCCAGATGGTAACACTATTCCGTGCTCATGTCAATCGGTCTGAATCGTAGGTGCGGCGAAAATAGGAAATAAAGTGGTTCAAATTTTTACAAGATATTATTATTACTTATTGTGAAATTTTGCCGCCCCCTAAAAAGTGCCACCCAAGGCAAGCTGCCCCTGCTGCCCCACTACGCTATGCCACGTCACTGGGTCATGTGATCAAAAAGTTTGAGAAATGCTAATCTAGTTGAAAAATAAAAGTGATTCTTAATTTTATTTTATTACATAATATACACTGACTCCAGTTTACCAGGTTTTTTAAAAATTTGATATTATGAATATGATAATAACATTTGGGTTGTGGAATAATTACAAACAAATTTTGGGTCATGTCAGTGGTGTAGCGTGGGTGTCAGCCGCCCGGGGCAAAGGAAAATTTCGCCGTCCCCTTATTTAGGTATCTCAATTTAAAAGACTAAAATTCAGATTCGTCACAGAATAAGTAATAAAAAATTCTGTGCTAGTGTTGCCACCTTTTTAAAATCGCTGACCCGAACGGCAGGTGAGGTTTGTTTGAACAGAAGTTTCTGATGCATGCATATGTCATTTTGCAATGTGAAGAATAATGTGCAGTGCATGCCAGTTCTAAATCATTTACAGTTAGCGACTAGGGAGACTTGGGTAGGAGTAACATAAGTAACCTAGATGACTTAGCTCTATTGGTTATTGGAGTTGTATATGAATACAAATGAATCGTACAAGGAAAAAAAAAAAGAAAGAAAGAAAGAAAGGTCGACAGGTTGCGCACAAAATCCCCAGGTGAAATTAATAGTCCACCCGGACTGTCCAGATGGTAACACTATTCCGTGCTCATGTCAATCGGTCTGAATCGTAGGTGCGGCGAAAATAGGAAATAAAGTGGTTCAAATTTTTACAAGATATTATTATTACTTATTGTGAAATTTTGCCGCCCCCTAAAAAGTGCCACCCAAGGCAAGCTGCCCCTGCTGCCCCACTACGCTATGCCACGTCACTGGGTCATGTGATCAAAAAGTTTGAGAAATGCTAATCTAGTTGAAAAATAAAAGTGATTCTTAATTTTATTTTATTATTTAAATAGCTAAAATAAGTGTTTAAATTTTTTCATGTTAAAAAAAAAAGTACAAAATGTCTTTTAATTAATATGTAATTAACAAAAAATGCAGGAACTCAGAGTAGCAATGAACAACAGGTTATTCTAACAATTAAAAAAAAAATTGCTAGATGACAAGTAAATGCAGACATGTTTGTTCCATAGACTTTTTCCCATTATTGTGCTTTTGCTTCTCCATCGTGCCCAAACTATTGCAAAGTTTTCATATTCTGATTGCAATGGACTCATCTACAGGGCAAGAGCTTTATTCTGGTACCTGAACCATGTTTGTATCTTCATCATTCTCTCAAACAAAGCTGGACAATATTTGAAGCTTATCAAATTAATATATAGATTTGAAAGTAAATTTCTACTTATTTTAAAATAAATAAATAAATCAAAATTAATCGATAAATATGACTTAATGAAAATAAGAAATCTAAAATTAACATTACAAATCTGAAGAAGCCAAGAATATAGTGATTGATATTAGTTATTTCCATTCTAGAAAGAGACTAACTATAAAACTTTGAGATTAGTGGCTTAGTCTTAAAAACATTTAGTTGTTAAGATATTTCTCAAAGAAAACTAGTTTTTGGATTAATACAAGTCTCATTTCACATCCTCACCTATTTTTACTTGTATTGCAATTTCACATTTATAACTGTAAAAAAAGTGATTAAATGTATACTCTTAAGTTAATGTCAATGCTAAATTTTACACTTATTTTTGTCCATCAAATGTATCTTGTAACTGTTATTATTATTAATCCTCTTTCAAGTACAGGAAACCTGCTAATGTGACCATTGAAGGGACTAGCTCAAACTGGTCACCTTGCACAGGTCATCTTATGCAGAAAGAAGGATTTAGGTGTTCTTGAATGAAATCACTCAAGTAGGAATAAGCAAAAGATTTAATCATATGAAATTTAATATGAAATATAAAACAATTGAATATACATTCTGAACAAATACTTGGAGAAGAAAAAACAATGCAACAAATTCAATTTTTTGTGAGACACTCATCAATCTTGGATTGCTTTAGAATTTTGTTTTTAAAAGTTTCATCAACTACAATTTTCTTTGCTTGATATATTGGCAGAAGAATCATAGGACAGCTAGTAGTCACATAGCAAGAAGCTATTTTCTTCAGCATATTATAAACTTTCTTGTATGGTATAGACCTCCTTTATCTCCACTAACTAATTTCCTTCTTCCCCTTATTGAACTGTTTTAGGATACTTCCAAAAGCATCTGAATAAACAGATTCAGTGGTCACAACATCATGATCACAGTCAATAAATTTGTCTGTTTTCATTTAATATCCTCATTTTAGTAAACCACTTCAGAGTTAAGAAATTTATGTCATCAAATTCAGTTGCCCTCTTCTTTCTGCTCATATCTCTGCACTCAGTTTGAAACCTAACCAGATACTCATGCTTTCTCTTTTTGATGTTATTTATGGTTGTCTTACTAATTCAACTCCTTAGCTGTTCGCCTCTCACTATGACTTTCTAAAAAGTGGATCAGTTTTCACTTCTGCTAAAGATTTAGCTCTTTGAATCCTTTCTTTGCCATTCTAAAAATTAATTGGGATTGGTAAGTGAATTATTGAAAAAAGAAACTGAATCTTGTCTTCAAATTAAAAATTCACACAAAGAGACTTAACAATTACCAAAGAACCCACGAATATAGCTCACTTTACTAGACAAAGCCAAAATATGAAACACTCTGACAAGGGAAACCTCGATAAAGGCCCAACATTTTTAAATTTGCCTCAAATGTTGCTGCTAAAAATTGCACAGTACTGGTGCATTGATAGTGGTCATTTCAATTTATGATATAGATTATTTAAAATTTTTCAATCTATCCTTTCTTTTACTCAAGCCTCTAGAATAAAGATTTCAAAAGATTATAGGAAATTTAGTTTAAACCCCTTATCTACAATGTACTGTACAATGGCTTCAAATATTTTATATTTGCAATGCAATTGCTACAAATTGAACTAAATTCTTTAAAATGGTTTTGCTTTTGTATTATTTTTTAATAGTCTAAAGTGACTATTAAAAAAGTAATTTTGATCAAGATGATTTCTTACCTTGGCACATGACAAAAGTGGTCAATGGTCACAATGGACAGATGGTCACTGTATCCAGATATATCCATTGAAAAATGTATTATTTTTCAGGAACCAGCTCAAAGTGGTCAACTTAAGCAGGTGGTCACATTAGCAGGTTTCACTATATATGTCCTAAGCGATCAGTGCACATTCTCACTAGGTCTATATCTTCAAAACCTAATGTTGAATTAGCTCATTTTTGTAATGAAAAAATTATTGATTAACTATTAAATTATTATGTTATTCTGTTTTAAATAGAAGAAATAAATAATTGTTTTGCTCTTTTTAGTTATGTATATGGGAGCAGTGCCATGCTATCCCTCCATTTCAACGATGATTCCTCATTCTGGACATTGGCAGTGTGATGGTAAAACTTCTGAACAACCCAAACAAGTTAATGGTGGAATTAATACCAGCAATAACAACAGTAATATTTCACAGTCTTATAATACTTCTTCATCTAAACAAAATTTTAAAAAATTTGAAAAGACATGTGTAGCACCAGTTGAAAAGTGTACCAACGTAGTAGCAACTACTGAAAGCAAAACAGTAAGATATAAAATTTTCTTTTCATTTCTAGATTTATTTCTAAATCACAATAATATTAAAATTCTAATTTTCACACTACAGGAAACTAATAAAGAAGTTTCCAACAATGAAAACACAAAGGATATTAAATTAAATAATAATAAACAAATTAAAAATAAGAAGGTAATTTCATTTATAAATATTTAATTAAATACAAATTTTTTAGTTATTATTAATCTGATTTGATATCATTTAAATGACTTTTGTCGAGAACCAGCGAAATTATGAGAAAATCATTTTTTTTGTCTCTAAATTTTAATTAAATTCAAAAAAATTAAATAGTTAACATAATTCTCTTTAAATATAAAATGATATTTTGGTATACACTCTTTAAAATTAATTTAATATTTATGAGCAGGATTTGACACCAACTTCATATCTGTATATGTTATTAAAAACTTTTTATTTGAAAATATTTATTTCATCAATTTTTTTAATGCATGATCTTTTAGATTTTTCAAAAGTCTGTAATAAATATATTTGCTGCCTCTAATACCAAATTAATTCTAACGTGTTCAAAAGTATAAGTGCGATATTTTGATGAGCAGTTGAGACAAATCTATTATTTAAGCTATTTAACTTTCAACAATTAATGAATTTTAAATGTTTTGAGACAGCATTTGGCTCTGTGCTCCACAAAGTATGAAGATGGGGCCAATATTTCTGCCGTCTTAATTGCATCTACATTTGTAAGTACAATACTTCTGTTCCCTTTGTTTTGAGGATATTGTGTTATTAAAGTAAGGATAAAACATTTTTAACTTGGTAAGAATTAATTATTTTAAGAAAATGCCAGGATATACTTTTTTAAACTTTGTATATATGATGAAGGCTTGGTATGAATTTGTATATGCATGTGGTGCGCCATAATATAATATGGTATATAATAATAATGTAAACAAAATTAAATATTTTTAAGTGGTGTATCAAAACATATTTCACTCAAATAATATTTGAGTTTGAATATTTTTAATGTGATAATTCATATTTTTCATTGTTATATTTTTGACTTTTTTTTATTCATTTTCCATCATAAACGTATAATTTTACTAAATTGCTTTTAAAAATATTTTTTTTGTTTAACTTTGAATTACAGTATTATGATTCTTTGTTCTTTAGTCCTCTGAAAAATGATTCTTTTTGTTTTGAAATTAAAAATATTTCTTTTAGAGAGAATCTTTAAGGAAATTTCTTTATATAGAATAAATGGAAGGTGACACTATATTTTGTTGATTATTTATATTATATATATAGTATTTAAATTTCATTTATTTGATAAAATTTTATATTGGTTATTTCATTTCAAAAATTTTGACTTTTCTGATCAAATCTCACTCTAAATGTGCTTTCCACTTTTTGGAGATCAAGATGAAAAGTTCCACTTAAATCCTAATTTCAGGCTTTTCAGCCATGATGCACATATAATGCAATAATATCCTCTCTGCCAATGTTGCAACATTATCGCAATAAGCCATTCTTTAAATGGCTGTGGGGCTATTTAAAGAAGCATGTACACTCCAGCAAAGTGATGACCATCATAGCTGTAGCTGATAAGAATGGCATTTGCTAGTTTTCAACATTTTTATGCCTAGTTTCAGTTGAATTCCACTTGGCTATGCCTATCACATCACGAAATCCTTTTTTCACATTCTTTAAACAGTGTGTACATTGTGGCTGCATGCCATATTGTTTGCTTTTGTCCTTTTGACAATTTTCCCTGTTCTTTGTTCTTTCCACCTAGAACTTTCAAATCTTCTTAATTCTTTTTTGGAGGTGAGGGCCACTTCCTAGAATTCACCAACATAATGTATACAAGGTTATCTCAGGTAACCTCGTATACATTATGTTGGTGCTTATGAGGTTACCAGGCAAAGGAAGGTCACTTTTGGGCTGGTGCTTGAGGAAAAGAGACCACAAAAACAAGATAGACTTTACAGTGTCCAATGCCCAAATGATGGGTGAGGCTAGAACTTGAAATTCCTAAGCCAAAGTTAGAATGTTAGAGTCAGCATTTCAGCTTGACGAATCTGAATGTGCTATCAGCTATCAGAATCAAACATATGAAAACCCTCAAGGAAAAGGAAGACAGAATGTAGAATTTTTTGTTTAAGAAGCTTCCACTTGGCCCCTCTGAGTAACCAAATGATGTTTGCATTATCCAGGCATTCTTTCCTATCTATCTGCCATCTTCATTACCTCTCACCCCTTACCTTCTATTTCCTTTTTAGGTATAAATTAATATTAAGGATTAGTGTTAAGGAGAAATTTTTGTAAATACAGTAGACCCCACATAACACTGTTGATTATTCCGTTTTATATGAATTCCATGTTGTACAAGTCACTTAAATTTTACAAATATGTGTGCCGGGCTGTGAACAGCTCATGTATTTGTAAAATCTAAGTGACTCGTACAACATGGAATTCATATAAAACGGAATAATCAACAGTGTTATAGGGGGGGTCAACTGTATTATTTNTATGAATTCCATGTTGTACAAGTCACTTAAATTTTACAAATATGTGTGCCGGGCTGTGAACAGCTCATGTATTTGTAAAATCTAAGTGACTCGTACAACATGGAATTCATATAAAACGGAATAATCAACAGTGTTATAGGGGGGGTCAACTGTATTATTTGCAGTTCCTTTTTGTAAGAATTATGATAATTTTTATAATTGTTCTACCAATGACTAGATTTGGGTGACTGTTAATCAATACATCCTCTAGAGTTGGAATCCCTTTATACCTGTACTTTTTTTTATCACACATAATAAATTCAGTTTTCCATCTTCTACTTTGCATGTGTCTTTTTTTCGGGTGTTTGCCCTCATTGGTCAATGAAACACTCTTACTCACAACACAAATTTTGGTGTCAATCAGCTTATTGATTGGAGCTGCAGAGTCCTCTGAACAGGACAACTTTAGTTATGAACACCCTGTGTACAGCACAAGTAAAGATATAAAAGAAACAGAAATCATTCTTAAAAATAAAGCTATTATATTTGTTCGTGTAATTTATTATTTTAATATCTTTTGTGCTTGTAAATACACTCTTCAGAATGTTCTTTCTTTGATATTCTTTAATTGATTAATGCACTTATTCAAGATTGCTGATCATTGAGATTTCTTATCAGTTATGAACAATATTTGATTTTCATCTATTTTAATTACAAGTAAAGACAGATTATCCTTATTATAATTAAAGTTTTGATCACTGCTTTCATAATTTTTGGCTATTATAGCAAACAGTATCTCCAGTCTTCATTACATTCAAATTATTGAATCTAATTAGATAATTCTTATATAAAATGCTTATGAAAATGCTGTAGAGCTTAATAGAATTTTTGTATTATTACTTCTTTGTGTTGCATTCCCTGCACTTTTTTCCTTCTTATCCATATTACATATTAATTAATTTAATGTCTTTGTCCATGAGCTGAATGAAAACATTTTTTATTCAATTCACAAGCACTTGTAAGGCTGATATCATGCTCTAATTAAGAGATTTTTCTCTCTTAATTCAAAGAATGTTGTTTCTTTTTAAATGGAGATTTCATGATGATGGTGGTGGTGATGATTCTTTTTCTTTTATTTATGCGCTTCTTCTAAGAGCACTCTTTCTTTATTTCTTTAGATGAAATGGCTATTTTTAAACTATTATAGATTCTTTTAGTTGAAAAATATATTCTTAGAATTATCATAAATGTTATTGGAAAATGTATAGACTTGAATTAAGTAAGATTTTAAGGTTTTTAAGATAGATTAAATAATGTTAGTTATAAAAGGTAAGTAAATGAAACATTTCATGAATTAATTCTAATGAAATATTATGGTTTTCAGGCTGAAAACAGTAAAACAGCTAAAGAGAGACAGATACATAAAAATGCTGAATTACAAGGTGAGAACGAAGGTGATAAGGATCAGGAAGATACTACATTATCATTTATATCTTCATTGTTGAAATCTGATGACTTGAGTAGTCATTCTCCATCTGATCATGCTGAGGTAATATATTATTTCGAATTAATATACAAATTATCACAAGTTAAAACCTCCTGTGCAAGTAAAGATCTTGCTAGACTTTCCCAGCACTCAAACAGGAGGTTAAGGGGACCACTAGAAAGTCTGATGATTTTTAATTATATTAGGATATAAAATTTAAATAATAACAAAAGCTCAAAAAAAGTAATTTTGTTGAATTATGATAAAAATCTCCATTAAAAAAATGTAAGTTTAAATCACTATGACACTAGCTCAAAATTGTGTATGATGCCATCTGTTATAAAATGTTATTAAACAATAATATAAAAATTATTAGTTGTTATAAAAATAACTAAGACAAAACCTTTCTCACTTCTTTTCTAGCCATTTAAACACTGAGTACAAACGTTTTCGGCCTTCTTAAAAGGCCTTCCAACAGACCATAGTGTACCTGAGGAAGGCCTTTTAAGAACGCCAAAAACATTTGTCCTCAGTGTTTAAATGGCTAGAAACAAAGTGAGAAAGGTTTTGTCTTAGTCATTTTAAATAGTTCTAACTCCAAATGCATAGAAGTGTTATAAAAATACTTATTTTGAGGGTAAAGATGAGTTTTTAAAAATATTATAAATGCCAATAATAAAATTTTGATTAGCTTCTACCCCCTTTATCTGCCCATCCCTTGAGTTCTCCACTCCAGAATGTAATGCCCCTTAAATACAAATTATCATGCTAAATTTTATTTCTTAATCTATACCCCATCCTGAGATATTAAATGAAATAGACACCAATACACATACATGTACATATTCAGGAAATATTTTCACTTTTCCATTTACTTTTTTGGGTTCAGGGATCTCAAAACTTGAGATTTGCAAAAATTTGAGGATGTATTGATTAACAGTCACCCAAATCCAGTCATTGGTAGAACAATTATAAAAATTATAATAATTCTTACAAAAAGGAACTGAAAATAATATTTACAAAAATTTCTCCTTAACACTAATCCTTAATACTAATTTATACCTAAAAAGGAAATAGAAGGTATGGGGTGAGAGGTAATGAAGATGTCAGATAAATAGGAAAGAATGTCTGGATAGTGCAAACATCATTTGGTTACTCAGAGGTGCCAATGGAAGCTTCTTAAACAGAAAATTCTACATTCTGTCTTCCTTTTCCTTGAGGGTTTTCATATGTTTGATTCTGATAGCTGATAGCACATTCAGATTCGTCAAGCTGAAATGCTGACTCTAACACGCTAACTTTGGCCTGGGAATTTCAAGTTTTAGCCTCACCAATCATTTGGGCATTGGACACTGTAAAGTCTCTCTTGTTTTTGTAGTCTTTTCTCCTCAAGCACCTGAGGGTCAAATTTGATATGATTACAATAGTTTCCCATGTTATGTTATGACAGTTGTTAAGCCCCAATAGACCTAAGTCTGTTAGGCGAGGTTGTCGGGTAAAGGCACAGACACATTGATTGAGGACTTTACAATTGTGGTATATTTTTAACAATAAATTTTAATCATGAATACAAACAGACAAAATTTAATCTATTCTAACAACATGGGAGGAACTTAAACACATTAGAACTTCCAGGGAGAAGGATTGAAGAATTTACTTAAATATTAATAACACAGTAATCCACGTACCGACAAAATAATAGTCTTGGGATGTTCTTTGAAGTTTCCTGTATTTGTATTCCTACTTGTTTCTTGGACCGTTGACGTATTTTCACCGATGGATTCGGATTCCGTTCACTCCTTAATTGAAAGTCCACACGTGTCGTTTTCTTTCTTCTTTGTCCTTGCACCACATAGTCTATTCTTAGCTCACGACAAGCCAGGGCCGAAGGGAAAACCAAAAAGTTCCTCTCTGGACGGGAGTCCAAACATTTATATCCCCCGCCATTGAGTGTGACGTGATGTTAGTCCTTGGCCAATCAGCAAGGGCGACGGGTTCTACCCGTCGCAATCCGATATCAGGAAAGAAAACGAAATTTTACAATAAAACCCGATATACATAAATAACGGAAACTACTATACAATAGTGCTTATGCACTACATACCTCCCTCAATTTAAGATTACTTACCGTAGTGCAACCTACGGAAGTCTGTATTTCTGTGTCGTAAATTATATGGTCTTTCTTGTTTCTCACTTTCAATAAGGTTATCATTAGACTGCCTTTCGCCCCTCTCATCATGTACACTTTTATGCGCTGTCCTAATTATTCTCAGATCAGGGGCTTCATCCTCATCATCCGACATGTTTTCTATTTGTACCCTTTTTCCAATTTTTTTACGTTTGGGTCTATCAACGACATCACCGTAACATAATTTTAGTCTATCTACATGCACAGTGTCTTTATCCTTTAGATTACATCCCTCAACTTGATAGGTGGTGGGATTGATGACTTTCACTATGCGGAAAGGACCTTTATAATTACTAGAAAATTTTCTTTTCTTACCACCCTTCCTTTTTACCCACACCCTCTGTCCCACACTAAACTCCTTTAATTTCTTATTAACATTACGGTATTTCCTACCGATTTTATTATGCTGACGAGCTTGCTCGCTTGCCATACGCCTAATGGCCCTGAGCTTACTTATCAAAAAGGATCTACGTTCATCAGTATCGGTAGGATTCCAACTTTCATCGATGGTTGGAGTGCGGGGGTCAACATCGAAAAGGAGAAAAGCAGGTGTATCATCAAGGGCTGAGTGGTGCGCATTATTGTAGGCAAAACACGCGGGAGGAATCAAGTCGTCCCACTCAATGTTGCTCTCACCAGAAGACTTAGCGATCATATCGATGATAGATTTATTTACTCTCTCACAAATGCCGTTTGAGCATGGTCTGTATGCGGTTGTTATATTTCTTTTAATGTTGAGCCATTTACAACAATCAGAAAATAGGGACGATAGAAAATTTGTCCCTCTGTCAGAAATTATCACCTCAGGGGTGCCATACCTACAAATCACTTTCTCGAAAATCATGTTACTAACAGATAAAGCAGTTTGGTCGGGTAGTGGGTGAGCCTCAACGAAACGAGTAAAAATGTCTATGATCACTAAAATGTACTGATTTCCCTTACTAGTTTTATGAATGGGCCCTATTATATCCACAGCGAATTTCTGAAATGGTGCTATAGCAGTTTCATTTTCCTTCAAAGGTGCCACCCCCTTATGTATGTTATATCTCTGGCACTTTTCGCATTCCTTAACAACCTGATCGACCTTTTGTTTTAAATTTCTGATAAAGTAGCTTCTTTCTATGTTCCTTATAGTTTTTCGCACCCCCCAATGGCCTGAAAGTTTGTTTTCATGTATAGCCTTAATAACTCTTGTGGCCAATTCTTCGCCAACACATAATTGATTCATTTGACATCCCCGGGATTTTAACCACATTTTTCTATACAGGCAATCATTCATAACAACATAATCATTCGAGAGCTGCCTTGTAACCCCCCTACCATCACTCCTTAACAAATCCCTTTTTATAGGACCGAGGGTGCTATCGTTGTCCTGGGAATGAATAATTTCTTGTCTTGTTGGGAACATTTCCCCCGTTGATTCAATATTTAAGCAACTCACTCCATTTACGTTCCTTGATAAGAAATCAGCCACCTTATTGTCAATTCCTCTCACATGCTGTACTTCAATATGGTAATCTGATAATTCCATCACCCAACGAGTTAAACGCTTACTCCCGTTATTGATGTTATTCAAGAAAACCAACGGTTTGTGATCTGATAGAACTATGATTTTTTGACCTAAGACCAAATATTTGAAATGTCTTAATGCTAATACGATAGCGAGGCACTCTTTCTCAATAGTAGAATAATTAATTTCTGCGCCTTGAAACCTTTTGCTAAAGTACCCTACAGGAGCTAACCCCTCATCTCGTCGTTGTTCCAACACAGCAGCTGCTGCTATATCGGATGCATCTGTATGTAAATAGAAAGTCTCATTAAAATCTGGGTGGGCCAGGATTGGAGGATGCGTGATAGCCTCCTTTAGATTCTCGAAACTATTTTGACATTCCGAGTTCCAAACAAATTTAATTCCCTTTTTTGTAAGGTTAGTCAAAGGATTCGCAATGACAGAGAAGGAAGGGATAAAATTTCTAAAAAATCCCACTACCCCTAAAAAATTCCGTACACCTTTTACGTTTTTGGGTGGTTTAATTCTTCTTATAGATTCAATGTTGCTGGGGTCTGGGCTTATTCCCTTATCATTGATCACATGCCCTAGATACTTCACTTCCTTGGCTAGAATCTGGCATTTACTGGGGTTCAATTTTAACCCCTCATCCTGCAATACTTTCATGACCCTCCTAATTAGCTCAAGGTGGTCCTCTAATTTTTGGGAAAACAAAACCACATCATCTTGAAAGATGAAGCAACTATTTCCCACAAATTTTGCCAGCACCTTATTCATAATGTGTTGGAAATAACGGCCACTATTCTTAGCTCCTTGGGGCATCCTACATAACTGGAACTTTCCCCAGGGAGTAGAAAACGCAAATATATGCCTAACTCTCGGGTCCAGAGGAATCTGGAAATATCCTGCTTTTAAATCTAAAACGGAGAAGAACTTATTACCATTAAGTTGTGATAAAATATCGTCGATTCTCGCCATTGGATATACTTGGGCTTCGGTGACCTCATTTATTTTCCGTAGATCTAAGGTTATACGGATCTCCCCCGACTCCTTTGGCACCACGTGGATTGGTGAATTCCATTCTGATGAGCTTTCCTCAAATATCCCAGCCCTCAGCAATTCACCCACCTTCTCCTTTAGTGCAGGGAGATAACTGACAGGAATTCTGTATTGTTTAACACTAATGGGGCGGTTCGTGGTCAGGCTTACGGAGTGCATGTAATTCTTCATGCCTGATATGTCGGCAATCTCCATAGCCACAGCCTTGGGGTATTTATCCAATATCTCCCTCATTTTAATTTTTATATTATCGTCTAAGTGATCCAGATTCCATACCTCATCCTGATGCCCCCCTCTACTACTAACATTTATACTAATATCATGGTTTCTAATCGAGGGACTTGCCCTCATAACGGAACCTAATTCTGAGAATATCTCGGGTTGATGATTCAAAACGTCCATTCCGAATATAAAATCATAATCCACACCACTAGGAAATTCGATTATTGGAATTGTGAGATCCATTTCATTACCACTTATTAACTTGAATGTAAGGGCCAATGCCTCATTACTCGTAATAATTACACCTGACATGCCTCTAATACATGCCTCACTTGTGA